ATTTCGACACAGTTTCGTAGTCCGAGCCGTGGCCATTGGGACTTGTTGTGATGTTTGGACCGCATGATGAACAGTGCGACCCAAATGGGGGATGTTAAAACCCTCCTGGCCCCGTGCCTAAATTGGGAAGCCGTTCTGAGGTCCATGTTCTCTTTGGTTGAAGTGTTCCGATGGATGCCACAATTTGGCTCAAGACTCAAGTAGGGCTTATGGTCTTGCATGGACTTGCATATACCTGTTTTCGATCCGAGTGAGAGGAAACAGGTGCGATCGCGCTGCTGATCTCGATCTTGTGTGGTTATTGAGGAACGTCCTTACACCTTTTACACTGGTTTGGCTGTATCGGTTTAACCGTATATCTTCACCACGTGATTGAGTACCATTCAGCTGGAAGCTTGGTGGACAGCGTCCCACGGGACGTCATCTTGCGCTCTTGACAAGAAACTTCCGAAGGCAGACCTACGGATGCAGAAATGCGTCTGGCTCGGAAAAGTTTCCGGAACCGGAGAAAACCACGTCGCAACGGAAGCAGGCGTACAAAAGGAACGAACAGTACGGAGACTACAACCAGACTTCAAATACGACCTCGCATTGTTAAACAAAGTTTCCGGCACACCATGGGCGCCACGACGGAACACCTACAACCCGTCGTGCGCAAGACTGTCGGACACGCAACTACAACCGTCAGAGAAGAGAAGGTCCACGCAAGATTTCGGACAACAGACGAACGCGACGGACGACGTCGTTGCGGAACCCGCAACAAAACAACAACGCACTACACCACCTCCACGACTTCCGTCTACATCAACGTCAAGTTCACGACCACTACCGGATAGTCCTATGGCTACTTCACCAGCCGGACGACAACATCCACCGCTACCAGCACCACCTCGACAAACACTAAGACGTTTGACTCCGGAAGAAGTAATGCAACCAACCAAAGCACAGAAGACCTCAAAGGACACTACAACCAGATCAACGGAACAAGCAACCAAAGAACCACAACCACTACGACAGAAAATCAACGCAGTGACACTTCCCAACGGAACATCCATCACTCCCTACACTCAAAGACCAATCCATAATCTTCGACAACGAAGGTCATGACGAAACACAACTACTGGAAGGAATCAAACACGAGTCAAACCAAATGAAACTACACGACGTCTACGACGAAGTAGATGCGTCTAGACGACAACATCCTAAAAGAAGCGACACCTACAAGATGGGTACACAGAAAGAAAGGACCAGGAGTACGAGGCCGAATCGTCGCAAAAGGCTACACGGAGAAGATCGGACGAAGACTCCGTCTACGCCTCTACACCAATGTTCACGACACTCCGGACACTTCTCGCACTACTAATGTCACGACCAAACTGGATCGCGCGACTAGGTGACGTCTCTACAGCATTTCTACACGCACCCATCGCAAAAGACCACGACGGTAAACAACGTGACGTCTACCTTTGGCCACCTCAAGAACTTTGTCCACAACAGGACAACATCTGGCGACTAAAGAAAGCCATGTATGGACTACGCAGTTCACCAAAAGCATGGCAGGACTACCTGGCTGAAGTGTTACAAAAGCTCAGCTTTGTAAGACAGATGTCAGAACCTAACATCTACACCAATGCGACTCGCGACTGCTACATCATGGTCTACGTGGACGATCTACTGCAGGTACTTGGAGACAAGACTGCGGTTGACTCCATGTTCGAGGCCGTCCAGAAGCAAGTTTTACTCAAGCACATCGGCTACCTCGAACCTGGCAAACCATAACAATTTCTTGGAAGAAACATCGACCACTTCGGCAACTACTGCAACCTAGGACGAAAGGACTCCTACATCGACAACATGATCGAGGAGTCTGGAATGACCAACTGCAACACAGTGACCGCTCCAGGAATCAACCAGGAATCGCCCACTACAAACCAACAATAGAAGATGAAGCACTTCTTGACCACGAACAACACAAAAGTTATAGAAGGATTGTTGGCAAACTTCAAATGGTTAGCATACACACGACCAGACATCGCATACTCTACAAAAGAACTAGCACGAGACCTCACAGCACCTACGGAACTTTCACAAAAGAGAGTCAAACATTTACTACGCTACTTGCACGGCGCCAAGCACTACAAATTCACCATAGAACCAACAACAACACTCAGAGCAAACACCAACAACATCCTGGATCTCGACGTTCATGTCGATGCCGACTGGGCAGGATGCCCTACTACCAGGAAATCAACTTCAGGTTTCAACATCATCTTTTTAGGAACAACAGTTGCATTTGGCAGCAGAACACAAGCTACAATAGCACTCAGCTCAGCAGAGTCTGAACTCTACGCCATTTGCACGGGAGTTAATGAGGGACTACACCTCAGAAACTTCCTACTTGAAACCAACATTTGCAGCAAGCTAAACCTACGCATCCACACAGACACCACAGCAGGCAAGAGCATTGCTACACGACAAGGCGCTAGCAAACGAGCAAAGCACATCGACCTCAAATTTCTCTACACACAAGACCTCATCAAACACGACATCATCAGAATCCTCAAGTCAACACACTTCACAACAGCGCAGATCTGTTTACCAAATACATCAGCAAAGAAACACTACACAGGCTCATCCAGAGCATTGGGATACGCATTTAGCACTACGAACGACCAGCGCAACAGTTTCACAACAACAACAACGACTTTGAACATTTCTTGTACGTAAGTAGCTACATGTAACACGACACCTTTGGTATGTAAGTAACAGTAACTACATGTATTTTCACTTGCACTTTTGAGTCAACACTACAGTTGTTTGTTTTACATGTCTGCATGCGCCGCCTGCCTGATAGCTACCTCTTAGGCTCATTTTGTTTTTGCCCCTACACCTGAGGTGGCGGTCACTGCCGACTCCAGTGACCATGGAACACCACCCCCTCAGACTTACAACGAGTCCAACTACCGCTTTAACCACACCACTCCTGTCACCATGGCGTATTACAACCCGGCAACAGTCATGGAACAACTACACCTCACGGAGTAGCAAACAACCACTACTCCACCGCCTAACAACACTCCCTACACTCAGCTTTTCACTGCACTTACACTGGAAGAGTATCAACTACTCTCACAACAACAAGCGACTCCACTCTCACAGCTTGACTACCACGACCCATCCACTGCGTCCCAGGAGACCTCCGGAATGCCCCACTACAATTCCACACTGCTCAGCGTTTCACTACCTGAAGCAGCGAATGTCCACTACTGCCACACAACTTCACTCCACACTACAACTGGCAACAACTCCAACTACTTCTCCTGAGGTATCTCACTTCAGGACAGTTTCTCCACTTCACCAGGGACTGCATTTCCTACACGATGTCAGTACAACGCAACTACTACCTCCCATTTCCTACATGAGTCAGTCCAACACAACTACTACCTCACCTCCCAACTACACAACATCCACAAACCATCTACAAGGTGGAATACGACATGACTACCTTCACCGACAACTACAGCCTGGGGAATAACTACATCTGGAACTACCACATGCCACTACTACTACTACTACTACTACTACTACTACTACTACTACTACTACTACTACTACTACTACTACTACTACTACCGGACCTCCTCCACTACCTCTACAACCACGACCAACTACACGACTTTCAACACAAGGCCATTACTACCATTCTCTGCAAGAGCACCCAATACTACGGCTTTACACTACTGACCATGACCAACCTCACACAACACCACAAGACACAACTACATCGTTTCCTCAGGGACGACGACCAACCCATGACTTGCCTGAGATCGACGATGAGAGGCTACGAGGCGCTCTCAACTACATGACAACCTTTTTTCACCACCCACTACTATGCGACCTTGGACAGTCGACTACAGATGGTCCAAGCCTACTGCTCCCAGCACTGGGCGCTACACGCTTGAGCTCCTGCTCAACTACATCCAGTAACTGCCTCACGAACCCCAGGACCATGAGCAGCGTGAGCTACTGAGAGCAGCTTACTACTTTTTTTGTCACTTCAGTAGCATTGATGAACAACAATGGTTTTCATCACTACTGCCAATCCATGTTTTGCACTTCAGCTGAAAAGGTACTACAAAGACCTTTTAACTGAGGGGCCGTGTCAAACTACATGCTTCACTTCCTGCACTTGTGCTTAATGTATGTTCACTACTGCAGGCCTTGAGCTCACTACATCGCATGAGTCAAAAGGTTGGCAGCTGCAGACTACATTGGTTGACTGTTTGTTTGAACACTACAGCACTTGCACTTGTAACAACAGTAAGGACCAATTTGAACGAGAGAGAGAGAGAGAGAGTGCGTGTGGGTGTGTGTCAAAATAGAGGACCCCTAATTGTCGGTTATTCCTTTGATTTGCCTTTACTCACGCACCCACATGTTGTTCTCTTCGACAACTAGGAGGAACACAATTTTAGCCAATGTTTGAGACACGCGAGGTGAAAATAATGCCAACAACTGTGTAACCCTGTTTGAGCCCCCCCCCCCCCCCACCACTTTTCTCGCAGCAACTCCGACCCTCCATGGTGCCAGTGTAGGGCTTTCTGCTTCCTGTTTTCTCATATCTGCAAATGATTGGGGCATCATTGATCAGGAGTTGGGAGTGGTAAGGCTACTAGAAATAGAGTGTGACAGAGAGTGAGAAAGAGAGAGAGAGAGAGAGAGAGAGAGAGAGAGAGATCTTGCGCAGCGCACACACTTTGCACACCCAAGCGCAAAATTGCAAGCAAGACGCCCGGCTGCGAATAAACCCATTGTTGTGCCATTGTCCTATCAACGTGACAAACTGTTTCGTTGTTTAGAGCTGTTTAAGCCATGGTGAGTGGGAGATCGATCTAGATCACAAGAGGAGGGCGGACCAGCAATGAGCATTTGAGATATTATGTGTCAAGCCAACAATCCAGGCCCCACCTACAAAAACCTCAGACTGGTTGCTTCGGGAGGCGGGGACTCCAACTCAGCAGCTTCTGCAAAATCGGCTGGACCATGCTGAAGAAGCTAGGCCAGGGCGGGTTGGCGGGTTTTGGGGGGGGGGAGGGGAAGGGGTCCTGCGGACCTTCTACCGGCAATTTTGAGAGGAAGAGACGAAGCCGGATCCCACTTGGACGGATCCCATTTGGAGGGATCGGTGAGCGAGCGGAAACCGCGGTTTTGTTCCGGGTCTGGGGTTCCCTGAGTTCTGAAAAAATCCTGTTGGAAAGGCCAGCTTAGTGGTTAAAACAAAGAGTTCCAACCTTTTTTTGGCCAGACCACTCAAGTGAGCAATGCAGCAATGCATCCTTCCTGGTGGATGGACACGATTGTATCTAATGGCGTAGTAGTTCTTCTTTTGGGATCAGGTTGCTGGTCTCACACGTACATGTTATTGTAAACGCTTCGCGTTGCCCGCCTTGGCCAGTCCGCTTTTGGCTGGCCTTGAGGTATATACTGTGCTGTAGTTGCGTTTATTAGAGTGGGTGAGTTGGCGCCGAAATGCGTGAGCTGGTTTCCAAGGTAGAGGCCTGGCTTGAAGGGCCAGAACGAGAGCCGCAGAGAGCTACAGAACGGTGGGCCAAGCGAAGAAGCAAATTTCTGAAGTGGGGAAGGGATTGGGGATGGGGTTTAGAAGATCCCGAAAAGGTTTTGAAGGCTTCGAAGGGGTCTGACCGCTTCCCAGCCCTGGGGGCCGAGGCAAATAGAAGCCAAACATTCTTTTTTGCAACCACGCGAAGGGCCGGCCCCCAAATTCACCGCAGACCCCAGGGATGAGGTTCGTGAATTAATAAGAATAATTGTAGATGACAAAGCCTGGAGCTTGAATTGCGCCTACTTGGGATGGGGTGGCTGAGATGGGGCGGCTGAGATGTTTCACCTTTTGGAATGGCCAAACAAGAATCTACTTGTTTCCGTTTATGGCAGGGTGTTAACAAATTGCTGCAAGCATGCTTATGCAATACGTGAGGCGCATTGAGCTCGAGCGCGGGTGTGTCCAATTCAATCATGGCGTGCGTTCGCTTGCTAGATGGCACGGAGGTAATGACGACGGCAGAGTATTCTTTGTGGCGGGACAAGCTGCGCGGACAGGGAGATGGGGTTTGTCTTTTTGACCTGCTACGACGCCACCTGGCCAAGAGATTCCCGATTGCTGATTGGTACCCGATTTTGCATTGTTTGTGCTCCTTTATTCAAGATCATTAAATAGCAACAATTCACATGGTGCTGTCCATCTTCTCATGCCAAGTAAGGATTGCTTTTGCCGAACTTCAGGCAGCTAGCGCTGGCTGGCGACCTAGGCATGTTGGGGCCAGAGACTCCGTGGGAGAATGCTGGGTGCCTGACGGCAATTCAACGGCAATATGTTGAAGCAGCGACTGGTGAATCAGACGGTTTGGCAACTGGCATCGACTTGCTGCGAGCGGCTGCAACAGGCAACACACCACATGTGCTAGAGTTGCTGGAGAAGCCTCATGATCCCAATGCTGGCACCAGCCATGCGACACCTTTGTTCAATGCTTCTCTAAATGGCCATTTGGAAGTTGTGCAGTGCTTGCTGGATGCCGGTGCTGACAAAGACATGGCGACCAATACAGACGTCACACCATTGAGAATTGCTGCATGGTACGGCCACCAGGCAGTTGTGCAGTGCTTGCTAGACGCCGGTGCTGACAAAAACAAGGCGACCGACGACGGCGCCACACCATTGCATCTTGCCGCACGGGAGGGCCATCAGGCCGTCGTGCATTGCTTGCTGGATGCTGGTGCTGACAAAGAGAAACCAGACAATGATGGCGCCACGCCGTTGCATCTTGCTGCACAGGAGGGCCATCCGGCAGTTGTGCAGTGCTTGCTGGATGCCGGTGCTGACAAAGACAAGGCAGACAATGATGGCACCACACCGTTGAATTCTGCTGCTGGGAAGGGCCATCAGGCAGTTGCGCAGTGCTTGTTGGATGCCGGTGCTGACAAAGACAAGGCGACCAACTTCGACGGCTTGACACCCTTGCATGTTGCCGCACGGGAGGGTCATCTCGCAGTTGTGCAGTGCTTGCTCGATGCTGGTGCTGACAAAGAGAAACCAGACAATGATGGCGCCACACCGTTGCATCTTGCTGCACAGGAGGGCCATCAGGCAGTTGTGCATTGCTTGCTGGATGCTGGTGCTGACAAAGAGAAACCAGACAATGATGGCACCACACCGTTGCATCTTGCTGCACAGGAGGGCCATCCGGCAGTTGTGCAGTGCTTGCTGGATGCCGGTGCTGACAAAGACAAGGCAGACAATGATGGCGCCGCACCATTGCATTCTGCTGCTGGGAATGGCCATCAGGCAGTTGCGCAGTGCTTGTTGGATGCCGGTGCTGACAAAGACAAGGCGACCAACGAGGGCGCCACACCATTGCATCTTGGTGCTGGGGAGGGCCATCCGGCAGTTGCGCAGTGCTTGTTGGATGCCGGCGCTGACAAAGACAAGGCAGACAATGATGATGGCGCCACACCATTGCATCTTGCTGCACAGGAGGCCCATCAGGCAGTTGTGCACTGCTTGCTACACGCAGGAGCTGACAAAGACAAGGAAGACAATATGGGCGCCACGGCGCTGCATCTTGCTTCACACCAAGGCCATCCGGCAGTTGTGCAGTGCTTGTTGGATGCCGGTGCTGACAAAGACAAGGCCACACACTTCGACGGCATGTTGCCGCACGGGAGGGTCATCACGCAGTTGTGCAGTGCTTGCTGGATGCTGGTGCTGAGAAAGAGAAAGCAGACAATGATGGCGCCACACCGTTGCATCTTGCTGCACAGGAGGGCCATCAGGCAGTTGTGCATTGCTTGCTGGATGCTGGTGCTGACAAAGACAAGGCAGACAATGATGGCACCACATCGTTGCATTCTGCTGCTGGGAAGGGCCATCAGGCAGTTGTGCAGTGCTTGTTGGATGCCGGGGCTACTAAGAGGAGGCGAACAGCATGAGCGCAGGTTTGATGATGGCATGCTGAATCGCATAGCCATCAGGCAGTTCGCAGTGCTTTGTTGGTACGCCAGAGACCATGACTCATGAGCGCGAGATTCATGGCACACGGCACATTTGTTTAAATCCAGCCCGCCACAATGGTGAAATAATCCCAGATGTACCTCTAAATCCCTTTTTGTTTGAGTGCTCACTACAAATGGCCGACCCCAAAATGGGTTCCCTTTTTTCTACCGGCGTCAATGGGCTGGTTCCCCCTTAGGCACCCAAATAAACGAGTCACGGAGCACAGCAGTGATGAGTTCCGTCCTGTTTCAGGCAAGACCTCCTACCGGCCGTATTTCCACTTCTCAGACGCGCAACTTGGAAACACCTGCTATATTTGCCAAGGTGCGGGTTTTATGATATATCCGAACTGTGCCAATCCTTTGTGGTTTCCCTTTAACCCTAAACCCAAAGCCCAAACCCCAACGCCCCGACAAACCGAAGCCCCGAAACCCCTAAAGTGGTATTCATCAGAATCCGTTTCACTCCGACTGGAAGGATCCACCGGACAGGGGCCAGTGGATCCAGAGGGTCGCCGCGTGCCGGCGTCTCCAATCGAGAAGCCCCTCTGGCTGTTCCGCTTCCAACCCCTTTTAATTGGGCGCCACCAGGAAAACGGCACATGTGTGTGTAGCATTTTTTGGGTTAATCTGTGGCCGAGCTCTACATCCCTTCCCTACAAACTGGCCCAAAGGATTCAAGCCGATCTCCGACATGCTGCCTTTGGTTTGCTCAGTTTGGGCATGTGTCAAACGCAAAGGGGAGCTCTGGCCAAAAGCAGAAATTTGGGTTCACCTGGACCCCCAAACAGCTGTGCCCGAAATGGAACCCTGGCAAATGGAAGCCAGGATCAAAACCGCCCCCTAGTGGTTCAATTTTGACCCACACCCACATCCACGGGTAGATCCGAGGCGGCGCGACGCGCGGCGCGACGGCCCATCCGAGGTTCGTGCGTGCCTACCTCTCGCAGGAGGCCGCGCGGAAGCACACGGGGCAGGTGCCCCAGGGTGACCTTTGCGCCTTCGAGGACTTCAACTTTAGTAAGGCAGGGCCTGCGTCTCTTCCACGGAAGCTAGGTCCCCCAGCTAGGTGCCCTTTTTGGGTGGGAGGGTTCCCCTACTAAAATAGACTGCAGAAAAAAAGTTGGTACCCTTATTCTAACCTCTTTACTGGAGGACCTAGGAAGGTAACCAACTTTGGTTCCGAGCCATCCGGTTCCTGAAGTGTTTCCAGGTTTTGGTTGGTTTAGTGGTTGGGTTTCCGCTTCACGCACTACAAGTTAGCTTTTGGCAGGAAGTCTGACAGCCCAACTTGGCTGTGTCCCTGGAATGAGCTATTCAGTCACTCAACTCCCTTTGAGAGGGCTGTGCTTTTTGCCCGGCAAAGGTCAGGTAGCCCGTGGCTTTGCCCAATTATTCAAAGGGCAGTTCCCCTTTTGAAGTGACCGTATCGTTTTCAGCACGCGTCGTGTTGGCCAGGACCCGGAGTGTTTTGGAGGCAGCGACAATCTGATGCGTGCGTGAGCGCAGTGCCGTGCGGACGCAAGTGAATGAGCGTGCTTATCATTTGGCCACCATGTGCGCAGTGCTCTTGAGCGGGTGTGCTTATCATATGGCAGGCCTGGGGTGCAGAGCTACGCGGAAGCACTTGAGCACCCCCTCCAAAGACACGAATGCTGCGGGTCCTCACCAACACGACACCTTTTAGTAGAGCAGGGCCGGTACGCCCCGCAGAAACTGCTTACGCGGACGTGTGATGGCTTTGTGCACGCATCATGAAGGAAACCCAAACAGTGCCTACATGTGGAGGACTGTGCTTTTGCTGGACTTTGGGGTTTCCAACGCACTTTCTCTTATCGCACTTGCCTTTTTGAGCAGTGGTTCAAGTTGGCTGATGACTTCTCAGACACGTGTTCAGCAACGAGGACACCCGTTTTCTCCTAGCACAGATGGACGGCTTTTCGGGGGTTCGGACCCGAGTGCAGCCATCGATTTTGTCTGTTCCGGCTACAGGATGACATGGCTCAGCTTTGTGAGGGTACCCTTTTTGTGGTTTTAAAGGGAAACCAAGAGGAAACCACAATTTTGGGTAGTCCCCCTAAAAAAACCGGCCGCGACATGCCTGCCAAAACGTCGGCAGGCCGCTCTGAAGTTTTCGAACCAACTCACGAAGGACCAGGCCCGCTTCGCAGGAGTTTACATGGGTCGGGTGTGTGCGTGGCGTGGCGTGGCGTGGCGTGGCGTGGCGGTGGCGGTGGCGGTGGCGGTGGCGGTGGCGGTGGCGGTGGCGGTGGCGGTGGCGGTGGCGGTGGCGGTGGCGGTGGCGGTGGCGGTGGCGGTGCGGTGCTGTTCGGTGCGGTGCCGGCGCGGTGCCGGTGCGATGCCGGTGCGTGTGCGTATACGGTGCGGTCCGGTGCGTGTGCAGTGCGTGCGTGCGTGCGCGTGCGTGCGTGCGTGCGTGCGTGCGTGCGTGCGTGCGTGCGTGCGTGCGTGCGTGCGTGCGTGCGTGCGTGCGTGCGTGCGTGCGTGCGTGCGTGCGTGCGTGCGTGCGTGCGTGCGTGCGTGTGTGTGTGTGAGTGTTGTGTGTGTGTGTGTGTGTGTGCGTGTGTGCGCGTGTGTGTGTGTGTGTGTGTGTGATGTGTGTGCGTGTGTGTGCGTGTGTGTGCGTGTGCGTGTGCGTGTGCGTGTGTGCGTGTGTGTGTGTGTGTGTGTGTGTGTGTGTGTGTGTGTGTGTGTGTGTGTGTGTGTGTGTGTGTGTGTGTGTGTGTGTGTGTGTGTGTGTGTGTGTGTGTGTGTGTGTGTGTGTGTGTGTGTGTGTGTGTGTGTGTGTGTGTGTGTGTGTGTGTGTGTGTGTGTGTGTGTGTCTGTGTCTGTGTCTGTGTCTGTGTCTGTGTCTGTGTCTGTGTCTGTGTCTGTGTCTGTGTCTGTGTCTGTGTCTGTGTCTGTGTCTGTGTCTGTGTCTGTGTCTGTGTCTGTGTCTGTGTCTGTGTCTGTGTCTGTGTCTGTGTCTGTGTCTGTGTCTGTGTCTGTGTCTGTGTCTGTGTCTGTGTCTGTGTCTGTGTCTGTGTCTGTGTCTGTGTCTGTGTCTGTGTCTGTGTCTGTGTCTGTGTCTGTGTCTGTGTCTGTGTCTGTGTCTGTGTGTGTAGGCCTCTGCACCTGCGCGGGTGAGGCAAAGATTGGACCCCTGAGCCAGAATGGCTTTCTCGTGTGTGTGTTTTTACTCGACTTCCCCGAAATGGTTGTCTTCCTGTAAACCTACCAAAAGATCCGCACAAAAGACAGCCCCGCATGTCTGGATGTTTGAAGATGTTGCTTCAGATGCGAGCGGATTGCCAACTGTGAGGATGACATTGAGTATGCTCGACTACAATACTACACACTCCATCAATAAACGCATTGATGAAAGTCCCGGTTCGGGGGCACCAGCGTGGCTGGAGCCCCCCATGCTGCACTTCCGTCACTTCCATGTTCAAAGTGCTTGGATGTTAGGCCGCCTTTGGTTAGAAGCGGCCCCGGGTTCTGCAGGTCTTTATCACCTCCACAAATAACTGGGGTTTGGCAGGTCGTGTAGGGTTTCTTCTGACACGAATCCGGTTGCAGCAACCATGAATGTCCAACCAATTCAAGGCAGCAGCCTTGGGGTCATTCCCGACAGTCTGTGTTAAGCCGCCACTTTGCCCTTGTACACTTTGTTGAGCATCCGCAAGGCATGCCAATCGTTTGGCTACTGTTGCTGGATCGCTTCTGGTCAACGAAAATAGTCATCCCTTCAGAGGTGCGTACTAGGTGCCGCCCGCGTAAAATAAGCTATATTGCTCTTCGCGGATGTCACACGGGAGCGGATAGTTGCTTCAACCCTGCACAGGACTCACTTCCATTCCCGGGGCCGGTCACTTATCTTGGTACATTGGCACGCCGGTGGATTCTTTCTTGAATGAATGTCCGAGCATGCTGTGGCAAGTCTCAAAGTTGCCGAATCAGAACCCCGGACAATCGTTCCACAGGTCAGAAGGTAAAGCCAGTCCAGTGCTTCCAGATGCCACTCTAGCAAGCAGCATCAAGCAGCCATCTGTTTCAACATGTTTTAATCTAAAGTTTTCGGGTCATCATGAGATCATAGCCCTGGGGTTTCCCGACGGACAACCAATCGGGGTTTGGTCCTGTAATCGGAACCGCTTGGATTTGGCATGTTTGGGGTCTTGGCGAGCAAGTGTAGGTGTAGTGACGATCTAAGGAACTGCTCAAATTGAGAAACAGGTGCGTTTTCCTCATCAGTATAGGGGCGTCGCTGCGAAACATCCCCAGCATTATTGCGGTTTTAGAAGTCTATATTTCGGGCCATCTAATTGGAAGGAGGCTGCTGTCATCCTTTGTTGATGGTTGGTTTGGGAAAAGTCGCAAAAATAGAACAAAAATGCTGGTTTGTTGCAACACTGCATCCCCGGATGGAGAGGGTGTTTCGTCGATTTGTCGATTCAGCAGGTCTTCACCATGCTGCGGGCATTGATACAGCGCATGGGCGAGAACATCTCAGAGGGCAGGCGCACTCCGAGTGACCGACGCGGCCAAAGCCTTCCAGAAACGGACCCACTGTGGGATTTCGTCTATCCACAGTATCTTGCCAAAGCGTCGCTGGTAAAACCGCCTGACCCCAAGAAAGGATCCTCAGCTTTTTCAGTCCAAGGCTTTAGCTGGTTTGACCTCGCAGAGGGTCTGGGCCTGGGGACCTGCGTCACGTCTCCAACGTTCGTCAACTGCTGCCTCATGTTGGCCCCCGAAGCTGTCACATGGTGTTTGACGTCGGCAGAAATTACATGACTGTCCTGGCGGAGTTTGCTTGCTGATGCGATAGGGAATGCCAACCAGTCCAGGTGTTGAACCTGGAAAACCCCCTTGAAGGAAGCCAAATCTGGGATGGCTTCTAGGGCTCATTCCCTCATTTGCTGAGAGCCAGCAAGAACATCAGATCCGTGAAGACACACCTCACGTGATCACCACCGCTTCATGGTGGAGCTCTTCTCAAGGGTACCCGCTGGAATCATTCGAAACCCGGAGCGGAGCGTGGCTTGCATATTCATGCCGAAAATTCAAGACAGGATCAGATGGAGTACTGACAGAAGGGTGAGATTGGATCCCTTCAAAGAGTACTCGAAGAATGGAGGGTTGGCAAATCCATGATCCCAGAAAAGCTACTGCAAAGGGGACCGGGTCCTTGCGCAAGCCCAAAAACAGCACCAGAGCAACGCCAAATCACATCTTGCAGAACCGCACAACGCTGCCTGTGAGAGTCCCAGCAATGGGCTCGACGCTGAAATGGGAGTGCAAAAACAGAATCCCCCACTTTGTCTCAGATTAGAAGCACCCAAATGGCATTGCCTGATCCTGTTCCCCACAGAAGGTGCGTAGTTGGTCTAGCAGACGGGGTTGTTTCTATACACACATATCATCTACCAGAGATGTGGGAAAATGAGGATGGCCCTTCTTTGTCACCAGGGTCCCCTTTAAGTGGAGCCCTTGCTTTTTGTAAGGCCTTTTTGGTCAGCCCGAATGGCACGGCCAGGGAGATGGACATTGCTCTGGGCGATTTGGGCAAGAAGCCTGCTTGCAATGGGCGGTTTTGCCAAAGCATCGGGTGTCTGCAGGCGAAACGCCGCCACCACCACAGCCACAACCACCAAGAAGAACAGCGCGAATAATAATATTGATATGAAGAAATATTTAACAACAGCACGAAACATCACACCACAATATCATCAGCATCATCAACATCACCAGCATCAGCATCATCAGCATCGCCAACACACACATCCCCAACATGATCAACATCACTAGCACCTCCAACATCATCAGCCTCATCAACATCCTCAGAACAGCAGGTAGCTGCGGCAAGAAGAACAATAGCAACGCCAACATCAAAAGCAACAAAGTCGACGGCGATGGCAATGACGACAACAGCATCAGCAACAACCACAAACAAGAGGCAAATAAAAACACAAACAGAGAATAGTATTAGCAACAACCACAAACAAGCAAGCAAACGAACAAACGAACAAACAAGCGAACAAACGAACAAACAAACAAACACACACACACACACAAACAAACACACAAACAACCAAACAGACAACAAGAGCAAGCGACCACCAGCAAACAACCACCAACCCACCCAACCCAACCCAACCCAACCCAACCCCAACCCCAACCCCAACCCCAACCCAACCCAACCCAAATCCAACCCAACCTAACCCCACCCACCCCACCAAGCAAGGAAGCAAGCAAGCAGCCAGCCAGCCAGCCAGCCAGCCAACCAGCCAACCAGCCAGCCAACCAACCAACCGCAACAAGAACGATGATCATAATCACAACGACAACAACAGCACTTACACAACACATGTCACAAGGACATTGTTTCTTGTTACGTGGAAATTCTTGGAAAACCATGAGGGGGGGTACACATGAGTGGATGATCCACTTTGAGATGGCAATCTTCAATTCTTTTCATTCATGCTTCTTATGCCAAATCGCACAAATTCCCTCTGTACTGTTTTCCAGGGGGAGTTCATGGAAAGAACGGGTAAGTTCAGCAGGACCTCTGGTGCATGCCACTTCTCGTGCAAATACTTGTTTACCAGAGACTCTGCAAACGATTCAGGGGTCAGTTCCTTAAGACATGTGCCGCCTGCCTGAGGTTTGTTTACCGTAGTGATCGAGATCCACGATTTCTGTTTGCAGCAGGGTTCTACAAGGAGGACCTTGTGGGCAGACACGCATCAATAAGAGGCTGAGCATTTGTACCCCGTATTCATTCCCTGTTGATGTTTGATTCCAACTGACGTACTCTCCACCTGCGCGTGAAACTGGTTGTACAGCCAAGGAGCTATGTCACCCCGGAGTAAAAGACAGAAGCACACATGGACACAGTTCAGAGAGTTCAGGGGACGCATGCTACTTCACGGTAAACGCATTGTTCACAGTCGATGGCTAGGTGCATGAAGTTGTTCGCCGGGCAGTCCTGTGTCCATGTCAAGATGTTCTGGAGCGGGGCTCAAAAGCAAGATGGGACACATCTCCGATTCTACGGAAACTGCGCGACGGAAAGTCTGGGGTCCTGGGAGAGGCAGAGCCGCAGCTTTTTGGGGGGGGGGGGGGGAAGAACTAGGGTCATGATGTTGGTTCGGTTTCTGGGATTATCAAAGTCAGATAATGGGGGTTGTTTCCCTGTAACCCACCACTTATAGGGGGTGACTTTGATCATGGTACAATAATGAGGCCAGAAGAACTGGACCCGCTAGTGAGGATAGGAAGTGACGATCTTGTCGAAAGGTGATCAGAGCGTGAGCCTTGCTGTCCCGGTGAGAAACATCTGTGATATAGTGACATGCGACCAAACCGGAGAGCCGGATCCGAGTTTGGCACAATTCGACTCAAGGCAGGTTGTTGGCGAGTTGGATTCAGATATCCACGGAGATTGTTTGAAGGCGCCCCTGGCTCCACTCGGCTTGTAGGGTGGTCCTTTTGAATGGCCGCTGAAAAGGGGAAACCCACCATTTTCAGCAAGGCTCCAGACAATTAAGGGAGAACCCCAAGGAACACTTGTTGAAGGGCACGACCTTTCTTGCCGGTTCCCAGCGAATCGTCCGGTTCCTCAGGTTTTTTCAGGTTTTCAGGTTGGCTGAGTGGTTGGGTTTCCGAATTTCACCCACAGCTTAAACACTTCCAGCAGATCTGAGAATGGACCGCCCAGATTTTGAAGCTAACAAGAAGCTGCTTGCCGCTCGCATAAGCTCCCTGTGCATAAGCTCCCTGTTGGCCAGGTCAACAGATCCCCGACTCGCTCGTTTTCAGCCGGGACGCAGCCAGGAGGGCGTGCCGCCGCCCACGGCAGAGCCCACAGTGCCAGGGGCCCCCGCTTTCCGCAAGGAGGCGCCGCAGGCGCCGCCGGCTGGGGGCCGGGGCCGGGCCGGCGGTGCTGGGCTTCAATTGCTCCGAGCCTGAACCACCAAAAAGGCAGAAAGTTCTTCACTGTTGTTGGCAAGGTTTTTTTTTGTTGGTTCGGTTGATTTTTAGCAGGTTGCAAAGAACATGTTGTTTGCTACCATACCAAGAGTTGTAAAGAGACTGGTTCCTCCCCAGATTGGCACGGAACCCCGAAAGCCCATCCAGAGGAATCTTCCGGGAGACAGCAAGTGTCCTTTGGTTTTGCCTTTGCGCACCCAATTCTCGGAGCTGGTTGTACGTAGTCCTGTTTGAACCTGGCATCCGTTTGTGATTTTTGAGTTTTTACGTTTGGAATGTTATCCCAATCTACTGCCCAAAAGTGGGAATCTCATTGGGGCCTGTCATTGAGCAATGCTTGTTTTCAAAAGTGGTCACCCGTTTTGGCGCTATCTTAGGACACTAGTTGTGTGGGGTCCCTCTCAATGAAGGGAAAAGTCGAATTGGGGCTCAAAGTCAAACAATCCCAACCAATGCGGTTTGTAATCTTCACATTGGCCTGGCTAGACCCCAATCTGATACTAAGGTTAGGTACGCTTCGAAACCACAAACCTGATCAGCTTGCTCAATTCTGCACGGCCTAGTTAGCCTCATGTTGGTGACAGTTCGGAAAATCATGCATCTGTCCCCACTGACCAGGTGGATTCGTTTTTCCTGGGTCAACTGACACGAGCTGGACTCTGTTCGAATCTGGCTTCGAGACCTTCCATGGTTTTCATGGTTTTCATGGTTTTGCTCTTCCCCATGCTAGGACATGGATCAAAGGATGGAGTCTTCCTTGTCGGCAAGTGCAGCATGACTTGGGTTGTCCCCCACGAGCAGTTACCCGCTAGACCCATAGGGTTGTTGGATGCCCGGGTTCTGGATACACCCAAACATGAGCACGATGCAAGTGGCGCAACGCGGAAGTTGAGTTTGACTACGCCCTCAAATACTCCGCAGCGCAAATCCACATGGGCTGAAAAAACAACCCCGCGCCTTTTCGTTTTGTAAGGGCCCGTCCCTTTAACTTGTTTTGCAGGCCAAAATCATTGTAAACCGATACAGAGGAAGAAAAAAGAGATACCCCCAGAAGCCATGACGACACACATCAGGTCCAAGTTGTTGTCGCAAACCAAGATTGCGGTAACATAAATTTGCAGGGCCCAAACCGATTCCCAAACCGATACCCAACTCATTAGCCGCCATGCCGAATCCAACCAGCTGCCCTGCAGCCTTCCCTGGAGCTGCCAAAATGCACTTTGTGTACTACATTTGTACTGACAACGTGCTGCCAAACTCTACTTCGTATACTACACTATACCACACTTACTTGCACTGAAAAGCTGCGACTTTCGAGCCGGAGCTGCCAAAGTGTACTGCGTATACTACTGAACAGTTGCGACTTTCCAGCTGCAGCTGCCAAAATGTAAATTGTGCACTACACTTGTACTGAAAAGTTGCGACTTTCCAGCCGGAGCTGGCAGAGTGTACTTCGTATACTAGACTTGTACGGAAAAGTCGCGACTTTCGAGCTAGAGCTGCCAAAATACTGCAAGCCGATGCTGCGGAAAAAAACCGATACTGACCGATACTAGGACGCAAGGATATAAGGGTTGTCCCCGGGGGTTGTGGAATCCCTTCCATTCTCTTAAGACTATTTTGTATTTTCCCCTGTTGGCTTTAAAGGGAGTCTATCACTACTGGACATGTTTAAAGTTTCTTTTTTTACGGGTCGTAAGGAAATGGAAGATCCTCTGGATGGGGTTTTGGTTCCATGTCCTGAGCATTCTTTGAGGCCGCCTCCCTGGGGGTGCGCGGCGCCCAGCCAGGCAAGGAATGCTGCATATGCCACGTGGAGTGCCTACTTTCCAACTGGATCTGGTTTGACCTTTGAAGACGCGTTTTTTTCTTCTTTTTCGGAGCCTTAGAAGTTTGGTGGGTCCCTAGGTCCCTTCTGACCTGAAGTGTTTCTCATGGTCTCCTTTGTCGAAGTACTAGCAAGTCAAGCAACAGTACGATAGACTAGGGTTGCTCTGAGCCTCGATGTCCAGTTGCTTTCCTGGGCCCAACTTCCAACAGGCTCCTTCGAGCACCCCCCTTTTTGAACCCTTTTGGGTGTGAATCTGCTTCGCAGCGGCTAGGCCCTGCGTGTTATCAACCAGTATTCACAGGGCTTCATCCATCCCTGGTGCAGGATTTTGTTCATCCACAATACTCTGGGCAATTGCCACCCAGCTGCCTCTTAAACAAACTCGCAAGACATACCGCCATGGCGCTTGCCATTTTTAGGAAGGTTCACTCCCAGATGAACGAGCTTGGAGCCCAAGAACCGTCATTGTTGGAATCTCATGTGGGTGCCCAGTTTGTGTTTTCCGTTGCACGAGCGCCGGGGATACTTCCAAGTTCGCGGGGGCCCTACTGTGGATGAACTGAAACCATGGTTGAAACCGTTGTTGGCATTTACGTTGGGGAATCGAATGATATACTAGCGGGCTTGGCTGCGCCTTTGCAACGGGATCTAGGTGCAAACTTGACGTATGGACGGAGTACTTGGATGTCGGAAGACAAGAATCGACGACAGTCTTGCAGTTATGAAGGGAATCGATTGTTTGCGGAACTGTTTACATTATGAAGCAGACCGGGGGATCTTGAAGCCTGCCAGGCGCGGCGCCCACTCCGCCCAGGGCTGCTCAGACGCAGCCGGAGGCAGATGGTCGCAGGGGAAATGTTTCATGCGGGCGCGGTTGATGTGGTATGTCTCTTTTTGGGGACCCCCCAAAATGGTGCTTTTCCTCTTGGTTCTCTGTAAAAAACACCAAAATCGGGTACCCCCAAAAAAAGATAGAACTGCTCAATATGTGTATGCCACGACATTTCACTACATCATCATGACAACAACCGGCTGTTGTTTTCACCATCAAACTGTTTATGGCACTACATCAACATGATAACAACCGGCTGCTGTTTAACCATCAAACTGTTTATGCCACTACATCAACATGATAACAATCGGGCGCTTGTTTAACCATCAAGCTGTTTATGGAGCTACATCAACATGATAACAACCGGCTGTTGTTTAACCATCAAACTAGTTATGCCACTACATCAACATGATAACAATCGGCTGTTGTTTAACCATCAAACTATCTATGCCACTACATCAACATGATAGCAATCGGCTGTTGTTTGACCATCAAACAATTTTGCCACTACATCACCATGATAACAATCGGCTGTTGCTTAACCCTCAAACAATTTATGCCACTACATCAACATGATAACAATCGGCTGTTGTTTAACCACCAAACTTTTTATGTCACTACATCAACATGACTACAACCGGCCGTTGTTTAACCATCAACCTATCTATGCCACTACATCAACATAATAGCAATCGGCTGTTTAACCATCAAACTATTTATGCCACTGCATCAACATGACAACAATCGGCTGTTGGTTAACAATCAAACTATGTAGGCCACTACATCAACATGATAACAATTCACTGTTGTTTTCACCATCAAACTGTTTATGGCACTACATCAACATGATAACAACCGGCTGTTGTTTAACCATCAAACTATTTATGCCACTACATCAACATGATAACAATCGGCTGTTGTTTTCACCATCAACCTATGTATGCCACTACACCAACATGATAACAACCGGCTGTTGTTTTCACCATCAAACTATTTTTGCAACTACATCAACATGATAACAATCGGCTAGTGTCTAATCATCAAACTATGTATGCCACTACATCAACATGATAACAATCGGCTGTTGTTTTCACCATCAAACTGTTTATGGCACTGCGTCAACATGATAGCAATCGGCTGTTGTTTAACCGTCAAACTATTTTGTTGCGTGTCTTTCGTTCCTGCGGTCCCTGCAGCGATTTGGCATTATGCAACGCAGCCCCGCAGGTGATGACCATGCCTATGACACAGCGGGGGTGCTAAGAGCGAAAGAGTTCGGCGAGTCAATGGCATCGCCGGGGGGCGTGGTTCCCGGTTGAAGCTGATACCATTGGGGTCATAGGTGTCCTTTCTGGTTGTGGGAAAGTTGTGGCGACGCGAGTCAACCACTTTTGTATCACAAAAAGAATCCAGGTTGCCATGACATCAACCTCATCAAAGTGGGAGGTGTTCCCTTCAACATGAACCAAGAGGGCGTGTTCTTGCTGGTTCCCAGCAGGCAATGAGGCAATGACCCCTACAAACCATCTCCTATGGATTCCATTTTTTTCTGGAATCCAACCAAAATCGGTTCATTCAACCAACACTCATAGGTGTCCTTTTTGGTTGTTTTGCTAGAAAAACAGATGGCGATTCCTGGTTTACCCTGTGGTTTAATTATCTACCAGGGCCATCTATTTCCCACTAAAAGGACACCTATGATTGGGGTGCTTTCCTTTTAACAGCCTAAACCTCAGGGGTGCTTCATCTCTTGGGGGTGTGGGGGGGGGGTGGTGCTCCCATTTATGAGGCGGCAGGAGGGACATATTGAGGATAGGAAGACGCCTTTGGCAAAAACGTGTTTGCTTGTTGCTAGTTGCGGGAGGAATGGTCGCACAGAAGGTCATATCCATGTTGGATGGTGGGCTTAATTGGTTTGACCAGGTTCCTTGAGGAGGACATGGTCGCACAGCACGTCCTGATCCATGTTAGATGGTGGGGAGAAGTGGTTTGAGCATCCGGTTGCTCTCTGAAAGAGGGACACCCAAATGAGCTGTTGCTTATCGCCCCTTCCTCACTCCCGTTTGCTTGCGCCGAGCTGTTATGCTTTGCAAAGCGAAACAACCAGGCCTGGTAACTATGTGGCCGTTTTGGTGAGTTCCGCACATGGAAGCTTGACTTGGTCTAATGATGAGGACACCATCCACGTTGAGGATCTCTTCCGTTGGAAACGCGTGGGTGGCAGAGAGTAGCGGCACCATTGTAAATCACTAATACCCCTTCTCGGAGAAATCGTCAGGCTGTGGAAACGCTTTGGTTTTAGGATGCCATTGTATCTTGGAACCAAGAACGTGAGCAAAGAATTTGGGGTGGCTGAGATGTTTCACCTTTTGGAATGGCCAACAAGAATCTACTTGTTTCCGTTTATCGCAGGGTGTTAAACAAATTGCTGCAAGCATGCTTATGCAATACATGAGGCGCATTGAGCTCGAGCGCAGGCGTGTCCAATTCAATCATGGCGTGCGTTCGCTTGCTAGATGGCACGGATGTAATGACGACGGCAGAGTATTCTTTGTGGCGGGACGAGCTGTGCGGACAGGAAGCTGGGGTTTGTTTTTTTGACATGCTACGGCGCCACCTGGCCAAGAGATTCACAACCGCCCATTGGTAGCCGATTTTCCTTTTGTTTGTGCTCAGTGATTCAAGATCAACAAATACCAACAATTCACATGGGGTTGTCTTTCTTCTCATGCCAAGTAAGGATTGCTTTTGCCGAATTTTAGGCAGCTGGCGCTGGCTGGCGATCTAGGCATGTTGGGACCAGAGACTCCATGGGAGAATGCTGGGTGCCTGACGGCAATTCAACGGCAATATGTTGAAACAGCGACAGGCGAAGCAGGCGGTCTGGCAACTGGCATCGACTTGCTGCAAGCGGCTTCAACAGGCGACACCTTACATGTGCTAGAGCTGTTGGAGAAGCCTCATGATCCCAATGCTGCTGACAGAACCAGCCATGCGACACCTTTGTTCAATGCTTCTCTAAATGGCCATTTGGAAGTTGTGCTGTGCTTGCTGGATGCCGGTGCTGATATGGAGAAGGCGACCAATGAGGTCGCCACACCGTTGCATGTTGCTGCACTGCTGGGCCACCAGGTAGTTGTGCAGTGCTTGCTGGATGCCGGTGCCGACAAAAACGTGGCAGACATTCAGGGCGCCACGCCGTTGCATCTTGCTGCACAGGAGGGCCATCAGGGAGTTGTGCAATGCTTGCTGGATGCTGGTGCTGACAAAGACAAGGCACACAATGAGGGCGCCACACCGTTGCGTATTGCTTCACAGCATGGCCACCAGGCAGTTTTGCAGTGCTTGCTGGATGCCGGTGCCGACAAAAACATGGCAGACATTCAGGGCGCCACGCCGTTGCATCTTGCTGCACAGGAGGGCCATCAGGCAGTTGTGCAATGCTTGATGGATGCTGGTGCTGACAAAGGCAAGGCAGACAATGAGGGCGCCACACCGTTGCATCTTGCTGCACGGGAGGGCCATCAGACAGTTGTGCAATGCTTGATGGATGCTGGTGCTGACAAAGGCAAGCCAGACAATGATGGCGCCACACCGTTGCATCTTGCTGCACGGGAGGGCCATCAGCCAGTTGTGCAATGCTTGCTGGACGCTGGTGCTGACAAAGACAAGGCAGACAATGAGGGCGCCACACCGTTGCATTTTGCTGCACAGGAGGGCCATCAGGCAGTTGTGCAGCGCTTGTTGGATGCCTGATTCCCAATTGCCCATTGGTAGCCGATTTTCCTTTCGTTTGTGCTCAGTGATTCAAGATCAACAAATACCAACAATTCACATGGGGTTGTCTTTCTTCTCATGCCAAGTAAGGATTGCTTTTGCCGAATTTTAGGCTGGCGCTGGCTGGCGATCTAGGCATGTTGGGGCCAGAGACTCCATGGGAGAATGCTGGGTGCCTGACGGCAATTCAACCTATATGTTGAAGCAGCGACAGCTGAAGCAGACGGTCTGGCAACTGGCATCGACTTGCTGCCAGCGGATGCAACAGACGGCTCCCCACATGTGCTAGAGCTGTTGGAGAAGCCTCATGATCCCAATGCTGCTGACAGAACCAGCCATGCGACACCTTTGTTCAATGCTTCTCCAAATGGCCATTTGGAAGTTGTGCTGTGCTTGCTGGATGCCGGTGCTGAAATGGAGAATGCGACCACTGAGGGCGCCACAACGTTGTATATTGCTTCACAGCAGGGGCATCAGGCAGTTGTGCAGGGCTTGCTGGATGACGCTGCTGAAATGGAGAATGCGACCACTGAGGGCGCCGCACCGTTGCATATTGTTTCACAGCAGGGGCATCCGCAGTTGTGCAGTGCTTGCTGGATGCCGGTGCTGATAACGAGAATGCGACCAATGAGGGCGCCACACGGTTGCGTTGCATATTGCTTCACAGCAGGGGTATCAGGAAGTTGTGCAGTGCTTGCTGGATGCCGGTGACGACAAAGAGAAGGCGACCAATGCGAGTGCCACACTATTGTATATTGCTGCATTGCACGGCCACCAGGCAGTTGTGCAGTGCTTGCTAGACGCCGGTGCTGACAAAGACAAGGCGACCAACAAGGGCGCCACATCATTGCATTTTGCTGCACAGGAGGCCCATCAGACAATTATACAATGCTTGCTACATGCAAGTGTTGACAAAGAGAAGGCGACCAATGCGGGTGCCGCACCGTTGCATCTTGCTGCACAGGAGGCCCATCAGGCAGTTGTGCAGTGCTTGTTGGATGCCGGTGCTGTCAAGGAGAAGGTGAGCAACAAGGGCTTCACCATTGCATTTTGCAGTGGACCATCAGGCAGTTGTGCTTGGTGGATGCTTGTGCTACTAAGAGAAGGCGAACAGTTTGATGCATGGCAGGGCTACGCAGGCCCCCATTTTGTGGTGCTGACAAAGAGAAGGCAGACAAAGCGAGCTCCACAGAGTTGCATCTTGCTGCATCGCATAGCCATCAGGCAGTTGCGCTGTGCTTTGTTGGTAGACGCCAGCAGGAAACAGGCCATTCGCGGCCACCGCAACAGACAAAGGGAGGCTTGCTAAGAAGGCCGACCACTTTTGGAGAGCCAATGTACTATATGGGTGTGTCTCTTTTTGAGGGTAACTGATGAACTTTGCGGATCATCGAGGCTTAGCTTCCAAATCGGGAGCTGTGGGAAGGCCTTGTGATGCGTTAGGTTCCCCCTGGACCTACACTCCAGACGATTCGATGCAAGCTCCCGAAGAGCCCTTGAGACTTGGTTCCATTTGCAGAGGCCTGGGAGCTTCCGGCGGTTCTGACGGAGTGAGCTTCCTATCTCGAGCCAACCGAAACGTGAAGTTCCTTGCTGGGTTCTATGAATGGTTGCAAGTAGGCCATGCGCTATCCGAGTCTGCGGTCCATGCACGATGACCATCCAGGGAATGGCAGGGAGACGCCGGGTGGACTCGGAAGATGACCAAGGCCACGGGCCATGTGGAAGTTAGGGAAAGTTGTGGCGACGCGAGTCAACCACTTTGGTATCACAAGGGGATTTCCAGGTTGCCATGACATCAACCTCATCAAAGTGGGAGATGTTCCCTTCAGCATGAACCAACAGGGCGTGTTCTTGCTGGTTCCCAGCAGGCAATGAGGCAATGACCATCTCCTATGGATTCCATTTGTTTTCTGGAATCCAACCAAAATCGGTTCATTCAACCAACACCCATAGGTGTCCTTTTTGGTTGTTTTGCCAGAAACATAGATGGCGATTCCTGGTTTACCGGGTGTTTTACTCATCTACCAGGGAAATCCATCTATTTCCCCTAAAAGGACACCTACGCCAACCCCCGGACTCGGGTTCCCCAGCCATCGCAGTCGAGGCCGGAGCTGCAGTGCTTCGAGGGCGGCGCTCCGCGGGCAATGGGCCGCTTCGACTGGGAAAGGTCGACTGGGAATCCCCATTTGCCGATCTGACGCGAGCTCCCTGATTCGGGGGTGTAAAGAGCGAAAACCACGTGATAAAGGTCCTTTACTTCGGATCCGAGTCTGAATGCAGCTTTTGAAATTACAGCAAAGGTCGCGGACTTCCATGAAAACGATGTCTGGCTGGTTTTCAGGACGAGCGCAGGGGGCCACTTCACGAGCAAACGGATCGGGAAATGGAGTCCACGAACAGGGATTCCTCCATTTCCCTTTTTGGGGGCGGCAGTTTCCACGAAAGCCACCGGTAAATGGCTCCAGCCACGAGGTCCGGTTGGGGTCGATGGTGAATTGGCAGGTATAGAGGCACTCTGTAGATTTCCCAACATCTTCCCATGTCCTATATTAATTAGGGACCCCCTTTGGCAGGTTTCCGAAAGAGAGACCAACGCGACCATCACTCTTCTATTTTTGGTTGGAGGGGGGGGGTGGGCCTGCAATTTTTGAGGTTACACGTGCGTCAAGGCGAGCTCAAAATTGGTTTGGCTTCGAACAAGGACGAGGTCGGGCCTTCCAAAACCGGGGAGAGGGGGGGTGGGGGTGGGGGCTGGTTTGAACTCACCATTGATTTGGTTGAGCACATGATGTTTTTTCAGGAATCCAGCGCGTTGACTTTGGCACGGCCAGCAGTGATTCAAGCGACCTAGAGCGACCCGAGCTGAAGACGCATCATTCGGAGAGGCAAAGGCCTTTTTATTGTGGGCTCTTTTCAAGCAACATGCAATTCTGGGGGCAAAAAAATCACGTGACTCATGCAAGGCGAACAAGTGCGGGTCCAGAGTGCCTCTCAAGTTGAGGGGCCAAACATCGCCAGGAGTTGCTCTCTTGTGTTCTTTTTTTTTTGGGGGGGGAGGGGGGGATGGGGGAGGGGGGGATGGGGGAGGGGGGGATGGGGGAGGGGGGTGAAGAAAAAGAGACCCCTTAGCCCTTGGATTTGTCACCTGGACCTGACCATCCTTCAGACAACGGGATCTCCTTGAGCCCCCGGCTGAAGCGTCGTGCCGAGGAGAGGGGGAGATGGAGAAGTCGGCTGTGCCGGGGCTGACAGCGCTGCAGTTCAAGCTGCTTGGAAAACCTCGACGGTTTGTGGGTGCTCGCGGCAAGGTTTTTGGAAGCGGGGGAACCATTTCTTTGGCGGGGAACCATTTTTTTGGAGATAAACTGTGTCAAAAGTGGGGAATGGTCTGCTGATAGCATGAAATGGAAACCGAGCAGCAACCAATCATCCCAAAGGATTCCTTGGTTTTGAGACACCACTAACATGTTCAAACATTGCCAGCTTTGTGTGTCTGCTTTTGGGGGTCCCTCAAAATGGTGGGTTTCTCTTCGGTTTCCCTTAATCCTTCGAACGCATCAAAACAGGGGTACCCCCAAAAAAGGCACGCCCAGGCGGATAATCCTGAATCCCTTGACAACTTGCTGAAGGATGCTTCCTAGGCACCCCTGGAAAATATTTTGCCGGCGTGCTCTCTTCGTTTGTGCAGGGCCCACCGAAACAGGTACGCCTTATGGCCGGGTGTTGAAGGGGGAACCGTCTTCCCACTCTGGCCACGTCTCATGCAGGCGCCAAGTGGATCAACTTGCTTTTTTGGCTGAACGAAACATGACGACTCATTCACAAGGGATTGTTAGCAAACGTGCCGGAAACCGATGAACTGTTGGCTCAAACTGGCTATGAAAGTGATCAGACTGGCTCGCGTCTGGACTCGCCAAGGCGGCTTTGATGCCTTGCTGCGTCTCAAATTAGGTATCCCTCCAGGTGCTCGGTCTCGTTTTTTTTTTTTTTTTTCCTTTTTTTTTTTTTGTTTAATTCCGTTCAAGCAATCCACAAAGGGTTTCCCATGTTGAGAAAGACCAATTTGGGGTGTTTGGTTGGTCGATAGAGCGGGTGAGCAGTTTGGAGGTTGGTTGACTTCCAACCGGAGACATTGCACGTTACCTGTGGGTGAATGTTAACAAATGAGCTAGCTTCCAGCCCATTTACAAATTCAAACAGGGCTCGACCTTCTTGTGTCCAGTGGGGAGAGTTGCGATTCCCCCCTTTAAAAAGGGACACTTGCTTGCGCAAGACGGGAGAGGAGGTCCCGGGTCTTAAAAATTTGGCCATGATATGTTGCGTTTTGCCCCCCCCCCAAAAGAAACCAAAAGCGTAGGTGCAGACCTGTTTAGCACATGGTCGTGACATGCTCATCTTTCTCTGCCCAGAAATGTTTTTCGCCGAGGAAAGAGATCGCTTTCAAGGAAGCCATGGATAGACATATTGCAGCAATGGAGGCTGGCAACTTTTGCATGTGGTGGCTGTGTTTTTTCTTGGAGTTGGTCCCCCTTTGGAAGGTTGGCACAAATTTTCAAGGATACCCACTATTTGACGGTTTGGGGGATCCCACTATGTTGACACACGCCCATGTTTTGAGTTGTTTGCGGCAGATGCATTGATTGCCTTTGACTTTTCGATGGGATAGGATGGACTGGTGCTTTTGTTGAACAGCTTACTTCACTCTGACCGAATATGAAAATGCTGTGTGTTATCTTGATGGGTCGAATGAAACAGTAGTTTTGCTGTTAGCTGCCAACCACCCTGTTTCAAACTGGTTTTGAAATGTTAGACACACATTGCCGGGTGGCCTCTGCTTCTTCCCCCTCCCCAAAGTGAAGGGCACACCCGCGAACTTTCAGAACCCCCCAACAACTGCTTGTTCTCATCTTCAAAATCCCAGGAACGATCCAAACAGCAGTGGTTGGGGGGGTGCTGGCTCAAGCGTATAGTATTTGTTTTTCTCAATTCAAGTGCGCAAGGCTGCAAATGAAGCCCCGTTTCGACTTTGCCAGGCACACGCGCACGAAGCCGTGGCAGAGAAGGATGCTTGGGACAGCCACGTGAGCGCCACTCGGAGATGTGATGTCGGTCGCGGCCTTCGACCAGAGCCTTCTGGTGGCGTGTGAGTCCCTGGTCCCGTTCACCCTATGACAAGCGCTTTCGTGCAGCAAGTGTTGACCATTGCGGCGGGGAACTGTATTTAGTGCTAGGGGAAAGGGATTCAGGCAAATTCCCCTTGGTATCACATGAACATCTCAGTCTCCCCCTGCTTTTTTTTTCCGCTTCCTTGGGGGAAGAGCCATCCAAAAGAGCAAGACTAACTTAGACGAAGCGATTCTCAACATTTGTGAGGGAGCTTGACATGTCTCCCCCCAACTTGTTTTCCCATGTCCAAAATCCCAAGAACTGTCCAAAAAGCAGCGCAGGTACCTAGTGCGCCTCACTGCAGAGGGCTGGTGGGGAATTTGTTGCTTTAGCAAATATTGGTTTAGTATTGGTTCAAGTTTAGTCTATTATTGATCAGGAGACCTTAAACGGGGTCCAATAAGCTGCGCCAGAGAACCGATTTTGGGCCACCCAAATGGAGCAATTGTAGACTGGAAGAAAACATAGTGTTTATTGATAGGGTCCATTTAGATTAAGATTTAGGGGGAACAGATTGCAGAGACAAAGTTCCAATGAGGATGGCCCACTTTGGCGTCAGTGAAAGGGTCATTTTGTGGTTGTGCCAACCCCCCAAATTCGGTGTAACAAAAGGCCACTGTTCTCCACACCCAGACTGAAACCATATCCACTTTTGCACTCCGATGAAGGACCCTACACTTAGAGAATGTATTTGAAGGAGAGGCTGACCCAACACCGCATGCAATCAGGGTTCTGGAATCATCTTGACTTACTGCAATGTTGACTCAGATTAGTTGGCCCCGCCAGGATTGTTAGGGGATCCCTGTTTGGTGGGGATTTTTTTTTCTCCAACAAAACCCGGTCGTGTCAACACTAGTTTTACCTGGAGCAGGAAGCAAATTGAACTTGCTTGTCGGTTGGTTCTTGTTGTTAGAGGAAAGCAAGGTGAGGCGTGATAGGCTACATCCATCTATGCTCCCTTTCGTTTGAGATCGAAGTGTCGTTTGCGCCTTAGGAGTGCCTGCTGCAAGAGCGTGAAGAGATCCAAGCTCGCAAAGAGAGGAGCCATCAGGGAGCCACCGAAAAAGTGGATGAGCCACTGACCGAAGCTGACCAGACCAAGCGCCCCAAGCTCGCCACCAAAATCCATGGAGGTCGGGCCCCATTTTGTCTATATCTTCCCGGGAATCCGAGCCTGGTATGAAGGTCCTCTTCTCGGGTTAGCTTATTATTCCAATTTTTGGTGAGTTTGTTATTTGTTCTTTGCAGAATTCGCACACTCACACAAACCAAAAGCCAAGGGCGCAGGAGCCCTTTCAATTTCAATGATCAACGCAAATCAAGATAGACTCCTTGACAAGATATGATTTTACACGGGGAGCTCCGAGCCTATCTGTGGCTTGCGTGTTTCGTTTAACATGCTACAAAGCCATGAGCTTTGCTGGGCTTATGTGCCTCAAGCCTTTCTTTCCCGACTGATTCACATGGTAAAGCAAATATTCCTTGAAGCCTGGTTTCCCCAGGCGCCGACCCAGTGTTAGTTAGCATATTAATGGGTGCATTTTTTAAGGGACCCTTTGTTAGGTTTGTTTTTAAAGAGATGCTTAACAGGAAATCCACCCATGTTAAGGTTCCAAGTCTTCATTCTGACACATACCTTGCCCATGTTTTCCCAACCTGCAGACGAGTCACAAAACCTAACTGCAGGTCAGTAAGGGACCGTTCCAGCCATATACAGGGCCACCCTTTGAAGTCTTCACACGGCGTTGGGTAGGCCACTTGCCCCCCTCCCCCTCAAAAAAGCAAAGAAACACTTAAAAACCACAAACGAAAGTCCCCTCAACAAAACTGCACCCATAGTTTGCCTGCGATGGTAGGAACCACATGAACCTGCATTTCCTGAAGCACCAGATGGCTCTTGGGGAGCACAAGCGCAAAGAGCAGAGGACCCTACGGGAGTGTTCCATTCCGGCCAGCGATTTGGTTGACCCGAAAATTGTGCAACTTGAGAAGTTTGTTTATTGTCTCAGTTGTTCAGTGGCACCCTTTTTCCTGTTTTTTTGGTGGCTGCCCCACTAAAAATGGTCTTTCCCAAAAAGGGTTCCCATGTTTTCCAGGGTCACTAAACAACTGAGTTATTGGGTGAAAGCTAGTTGTATTGTTTCTGAAGGCCTCTCTAATCCGACCGGAGTTGGGGTCAGAGGGAAAATCGCTACTTTAGTAGTGGTTGGAATGGAATCAAGCGGGCGTCCCATGTACAAGGGAATCCTTCGCTTTTGTGAGGAAGAAAAGCACCCCGCTATCAATGCGCCGGCTTTGAGAATTCGAGGTTGAACGTGGAACCCAACAACCCAACAACCCCGGCATTAAAGAAACCCCCTTGGGGCGATGGATTGTTGTGGCTCAGTCCGCCGACATGTCAGCGTGCGTGAAGGGCCGCCCAAGGGTTCGCCATTGGAGAGTTCATGAAGGCCTTGCTTCCAGCGTCGAACAGCGTGTCGTCTTCAGTGTCGGGAGGCTGTCGTGCTTTGCACATCCAGTCTTGAGCACGCTTCCTCTGCACCTTTTTTCTCTTGCAGAGGGAACCCGAGCCGATGTCAGACTCTGGTACGGAGGGGCCGTTTTGTGAGTCCGTACTTATGACCTTTGCTCATTTTTGGACTTTTAGATGTTTAGATAATATATTTGTATGAGATATACGCCGAGAGGTCCCAGAGACAACTAAGCTGGTGTCCACATTGGACTCATCGGGCACGTCGGGCTCGGGGGAAGGCCTCTACCCTCTTATACCATGCCGAAAAAAAAATCGGCGGGTTTGCAGGGGAGCAATGCCCACGGAAGGCAAATGGAAGGTGAAGGGAGCCAGGGATAGAGTACGAGTTGGCCCTGAGAATCTGCCGATGTTGCCCGGGCCCAGTTTCTTCATTTGGGAGCACTTGATGGCACACCCCTCTGGACTATGCAATCAGGGGGGGGAAGACTGTTTTCGTGGGGGAAGGACCCATGTGATTCACATGGACTTTGATTAACATGTGACCCCCCAATCCTCCGGAACTCGGAGATGACACTGAGGCAGCACCTTAACATGTAACCCCCCATTCACTGGACTTTTCCTTGGGTAACGAAAGGCGTCATTTTCACTTGGGACGATGATTTAGGATGGCCAACCACATCGTCTTGAGAGGGACTTCAAGTTTGGTACGCTTTCTGCACAGCTTGCGACCGCAACACAGCATGCTTTGATGATAATTTCATGAGAAGATGCGAAAAAACGGCCTAGCCACTTGTTGCGGAAGCCGGTTTAGAATTCTAAATGGATATGGGCCGATTCGCTCAAGGGTGAGGAGGGTGGTGCAGTAGAGCAGGACCCATACCTTCTTCAATGGCCCTTTGAGAGGCCCAGCCGAGTTGAGAGCAGTAGCTGGTCGAGCTTGCTAAGTAATCATGGCCTTCGTGCTACTGCCCATCCTAGTATGGTCTGCTCTATCAGCCTGTTTTTCATGATATGTCGATTGATCAGCCGACATTTCATGGTTTTCCAATCGCCTGGTGTGCAAACCCTTGAATGCTGAACCCCCAGCGCCAACCCTTCCACTGCATTGCGTACATGTTGCTTTCCTCCTGGCACATGCACAATTCACATTCAGCAAAGACAAGTTCAAGAATAGACAAATGTAGGTATATTAATACGTATATTCGGATACTGCCAGGCATCTACACAACTAGAGAGCAGAAAACCGGACAGAGCAGACAAACAAACATACAGGAATAGCATGCATATGCACATTCCTAGACATTTTCTGCTTGCACACGTTCTATGTTGATCACTGCCCCAGAGAAACGGGCCCTGCCTCAAACTTGGGGAACCCAACATTCCCTTTGGTTCTTCGTTTTCACCCCGAGAGAGGGGTTTCAACTCAACAAGCAAACACCCAAAAGCTTCCCCCCGGCAGGAAGGACGACATCGAGGCTGCCTCAGCTCACGACTTCCCAGCCTTCTCAGAGGTCCACCCAGACGAGATGCTCGGGAAGAAAGAAACGAGAACGCGAGTCGCATCCGAGCCGCGGGGGTGTGTTTTGGAACCATCTTGATGGTTCCCAGCCATCCGCTTCCTTAGGTTCTCAGCTTTGTTTTTAGTTGGTTTAGTGCTTGGGTGTGCGAATTCCCACAAGTTGAGGGGGAACCCCGTCGTTGGCATGGAACAACAGGCGCGGATGGTTGCGACATCCATTTTGCTGCAAATACCCACAAACAATGATTTCCCCATAGCTTCTTGGGTAGTGCAGGATTTCGTCCATCCACAGCAGGTGTCCTTTTTAGGTTGTTTGGATAGAAATGGATGGGCTCCACTGGTTTAGATTGGTGCTATAAATGGAACCTAGCAAGTATATTGAAGGGCCCTTTGACCGGATCCATGCTTGTTGGCAGGGAGAGTACCTGTTTAACTAGGTCCCCCAGCTAGGCGCCCTTTTAGCCCTTTTTTTGGGAGGGTTCCCCTACTAAAATAGACTACAGGAAAAAGGGTACCCTTATTCTAACCTCTCTACTGGACCAAGTTGGGGTTCACTACATATGGAACATCAATCATAGGTTGTTTTTGTGTGCGGGGGGGGGGGGCCTTGCAGGGCAAAGGCTGACGTAGTCCAGGTCATGACCTTTTGCTCAGTCATTGAGGGGGGCGCTTTTGAGTGCTTGAATAGCTAGGGGATGCTGGGGGATTGATGAATTAACGGTCAAGTTTCGTCAAGACATCAAGAGGTTAACTTTTCATGTTCTGGTTGAACGGTGTTGGTTTGAGATTCAGATGTTGACCCGGGTTGGCCATCCCCAGTTTGCTTTCGGCAAGGATGAAGGACTTCGTCAAGGGCCAGCAGGCCTGGGCGAGTCAGCCGATCGGCCAGTGCCAAGGTTCGAAGAGACCGGGCGTGTTTCAAATGGGCCCGCAAAGGGTGCATCCAACTCAACGACGCGGCCAGAGCATGTCTCCGGTGGGTGCCTGGCCTTGTTTTTGAGTGCTTTCCTTGGGACCATTGGAGGATTGCTTGAGAATTCCCCAGCCACAAAGGGTCTCAGGTTGTTCCTGTCGCTGGGCAAGCGCAAGTTGGAGGTTTCCAGCTTTCAGACTTTGGCTTGTAGAGCTTAGAGCTGGATTTATGGCATCTCCCCCGCCCCCGCCCCCCAAAATGTCTAACTCTTGGAAAGGGGTCAACAAACGGATTTTCACCATGCCCCAGTTGTGAATTCGGGCTCCAAAGGGCAAGGCCAGGGAAGAGGATTCAAGTTTCCACCCCAAAGGTGACCGGCTTTTTCTCCAAACTCAGAAGGTGTTTGTGGGAGACGCTTGAATGAACGCCCGAAGGAGTCTGATCTGTATATTCGATAGGGTTGTCCTCGATTTTGGCCCAAGTGCCCAGTGATTTGTACCCGAGCGTGTTTTTTGTTTTGTTTTTAATAACCACAGGAACCGCTCGGCAAGACTGTGCGTGTCGAAACGGAGCACCCTGATTTGGGCTCGACCCTCAAAAAGGATGGTGTTCCATTTCGCACAGCCCTCAAAACAGACAGGCCCAATTGAGTGTGTGTCGCGAGACGGTCCCAACCCTTGACTTGGTTGTTTTCGGCAAGCGGGGGGTTGGGGGAAAGCTAGCCCGCAAGCCATGTCTGGATGTTTTTGGATGTTTTGGGATGCCAAAAGGAAATCAGCTTGCCCTCAGTTGGCGGTTGGGTTGGTGGTTTGGGGATATGAACCCCCTCTTGTGCAGGCATATGGGAAACCACCCCTCACCTCCAAACCACCACCCGCAATTTGGGGCAAGCTGATTTTGTTGTTCTTCCGCATCCCATTGTTTTTGAGGGCTCACACGCCTGGCGCCAAAAAAGGGGGGGGAACGCCAGGCGAAGGTGCGAGAAGCGCTGGATGACCAGGTGCGTACCAACAACACCCTCCGCGCCTTGACGCCGCACAACTTGGTGTTTGATGGCGCGCTGCTTCGTGTGGGTAATAGCATTTGCGCGGAGTGCACCCATGTGTGTGCACATATATGCACATATGTGATACACATAGGTGAAGAAATGTGTATCACAAATGATATGTAAATACTGTGTACAGGAGGGTGTGCACATGTATGCCAGAGACAGAATGTATCGATTAGCACCTAACTCACAGCATAAGAAACTCGCTGGCCTCGCTTTGGTCCATGAGCCACTGATAAAACCGATGACATAGACCCCTTTCCAGGCAGCCAGATTGAACCAACATCATTTTCTTGGATTCGAACCACTGGCAAGGTGCATTCCCTAAAATTGAATATTTGCAAGTGAACCAGCCACAACCACATCAAAACCTTGACACATGTTGCATTTACTGCACTTCACAACCACATCAACACCAACCGCAAAGCACAGAACCTGGTAAAACGTGAGTTGCGCGGCCGGCGAATCGACCTGGTTTTTTCGCTTCTCCGACTTCCTATCGGCAGCCATTCTTCAAAGTCCCCAAAGGTGATCGCATCTACAAAGCAAGTTTAGAAGGGAACTCTCCCACCAGCTTTCTCGGCATTTTGCGGTGTTTTGAGGGGTTCTCCCAACAACTTGCGGGATGTTCAGGGGTTCTCCCACCAACTTTCCCCGAAACTTTGGGATTTTCAGGGGAAAACCCAACACTCAGTTGTTCAGTGGCACCCTTTTCTCCTTTTTTTGGGTGGCTGCCCCACTAGAAATGGTCTTCCCCAAAAAGGGTTCCCTTTTTTTCCAGGGTCGCTGAACAACTGAATTGAGAGTTTTGTTTGTTATGTTGTGAAAGCTAGTTGTATTGTTTCTGAAGCTAGTTGTGAACAACTGAGAACAATCTTCCCTAAACTTGGAGCTTTCCAACAGATTCTCTCCCCCGAAGCTCTCAGGAAACCTCGCGAAGCAGAAGGACCTCGCCTTGGAGCTAAACCAGCTCCAGGTCGGCCATCGAATCGGGTGGAACACGCCGTGCGGAGGGGGTGGGGAGGGGGTGTGGTTTGTTGTTGTGTTGGTTTCGGGTTGCGTTTTGTAGTCGTTCGCTTTTTGTTGTTCAGTGTTTGATTCTTTGCTGTTTGTTAGTTTGCGTTTTGTATGCGTTTGGTTCCCTTTTTTTCCTGGTGGCTTTGGATTTGTTCCGGAGGCTTTGGCTAATTTTGTGCGCGAGAGAGTTCCTTTTTTTTAACAGTCTGTGCTGTGAGTCTTGTTTTGCGATTTGAAGTGCCCATCATGTGTGCGAGTTGCACTGCTTTGCACTCTGTGTTTGGTGCACTAGGACCGGGATGGTGGTCACAACGCTTGCAACGTGCGCCTTTCCTGCCTACAACCCAATCTGCAATGGAACACAGCCACAGATAAGTAGAGCAGAGAAAGAAGTGATGACCAACCCCAAGCAACCAGGTCTTTTGACGCCAGCTGCGTGGGGGAAGGGCCCCGCTTCCTCCACTGGATTCGTACCATCCCACACATGGTTTTCTCCTAGGTTTCAACTAGAATCCCTTCAAACATGCAAGCAAGTGTCCTCCTTAAGCTATCCATCGGTTTCCGAACTGTCCTTCTTGCAAATAACGTACCGCATCGGTTTCCAAGTCGCCTTTTGACTCCACGAAGCTTGTGGCCGTTTTGCACCCGACGCCACGCCCAAGCCCATTGACGGCGGCAGGCCAACCGCGAGGAGCTGGCGATGCTGCGGAATGCGGAGCGTGCCGGGGACGTTTAAACAACCAGAGGGACACCGAGGGTCATAGGTGTCCTTTTTGGTTGTTTTGGTAGAAAAATAGATGGCCCTGGTTTACCTGGTGGTTTAATCATCTACCAGGGCCATCTATTTCTCCTAAAAGGACACGTATGCCAAGGGTCCTGTGAAGAGTCCGTTCGTTTGTTTGAAGCAAGGGCTTGGCACCCGCGCACCATGAAGCCAACAATTGGGATATGGACAAACCTATAACGAGCCCAGCTTGGGAGAGGGAAAGCGATCTGACCCAGGAAAGGTGATGTTAATAAAGGCATGAACACTGTTATCAGGAAAGAGCAAGGGCAGAATGTGAGAGTCTTTAATATCAGATAATAAGGTCTCAGATTCAGAATTGTGGTATATTGTAGTCCAAGAGTCAAGAGATGTAAGACATTAAGTACACCAGAGATTAATAATCCCAATATAATATGTTCTGTACTTGAAGGTGGCAAATTTATATATAGCGAAGTGGACAATGGTAGATATGTTCATGAAATAATCTCCACGCTAGGTGCCATCAGAATCCTTCTTGTGTAAGAGCTCTCGGGATTCAAGAACCTGTTATCCTTGGCGAGCCGCAAATCAAGGGTTAGCCGATGGTGGCGAGGGAAGGGTTGGATGGAGATAGGAATGACCAAGAACTCTCTCTCCACCACCTGTCAACTCTTTTACTCACATGCCAGGTAATCATGCGAGAGACAGAGCTGGGGTGGGTGAGTCATTCCTTTCAAGCCTCCCCCAACCATCCATCACCATCCTATCTATTCTTTCAAGTTGGAGTGATCAAGTGAAAGAGAATGATTCTGAATTAAAAGGATTCTAGATCGGGGAAGTGATAGGCTGAAGAGACGAAGGGATGGGATAGCGGTTAACCTTTCCTTCTCCTTTCGTACCAGAAATAGTTATGGCATCTTATTGTCGCATTCCTTTCACCTTTGTATCTAGGAGGAGAGAGAGCGAGAGCGAGAGCGAGAGCGAGAGAGAGAGAGAGAGACAGAGAGAGAGAGAGAGAGGATTCCCTTGCCAGCCTTTCTTTTCCTCACGTCATAGCGGCGTGGCTGCGTGCGACAGAGAACAGAGGCTTTGGAGGTGTAAGGAGACAAAGAACCTCTTCAATGTTGGATTGTAAACATAACGTCCTCCACAGAGCCATTCTACAAAAGATGGAACGAGAGGTCATAGGGCTGCCATTGCTGTAACTCCCCATAAACTCATTTGTCCATTCCGTAAAACATAGACCATAAATGATGTTCCCATTCAGATGAAGTAATAGAAAGCCCGTACATGAATTTACTTTCATAGTTGTGATACTTATTGCCAGTCTTGCTTCCTGGAAGTCTCTGTTGATATGTCAACTTATGTTTGTTTCCTCCCTCCTGTGCTTGACAAGATGTAGGGCAGATATGTTTTTGCCTGAACTTTGGGCTCTCAGAACAAAGAATATCTAAAGTAGGGTTCAACTTGTGTTCGTTTTCCCTTCAATGCCCGTTGGCTGCGTCTGGTGCTAGGTGCGAAGAAGGCCTACGACAAAGAAGCGCTGGCCACGGCATGGAATGCAGATATCCGCATGAAGAACATTTGGAAGGCCATCGACACTTGGCGTGTTTTTGGTGTGTTTTTTATTCTTATTACTATTTTTCGGCCACGAAGGCGATTCTCGAGGATTCGCAGGTGTTCGGGAAGTTTCCTGAATAAGAACAGCCTTGAATGGCCGGTCTCTTTTTGCTACGTTCGTCACCGTGCCTGAAATACGACGCCCTCCAGCCTTCCGGGCTTGGTGGATGGCCCTTTGTGCTGCGCGTCGAAGCTGGGTGCACTTTTTGGGGCCGGTTTAGCGATCCTAATAGAAAAACCATGAGTTTCTTTTTCGCAATTTTCAAAGGCGGCAGGTGGAACGTCTTTGGATTGTTCTCCCTTGCGGGAACGTTTGCCTTGATGTAGAATCAAACAAGGGCCCCTCCGCTTTGCCATGAGAAGACTGGATGCAAGATAGGGCTCCAAGAAACTGTTTGATTTCCGTTGGTTTCCTTTTTTAA